TAAGTGATGGATTATTGTCTGCTCTTTGCGAAACTCTTTTCCCTCACATGTTCTGATTAGGCAATTTAGGAAAAAAAGATGATAAACCAAGAATAAGACGAAAAGATATAGAAAAATATATGGCTGATAATTTGGCGGCTATTGAAGAGACTTTTTATAACCAGTCTGATGACACTAATGCTGAATATTATAAGAATTTTTTAACTTTGGATGGTAGTAAGGCTGTTAAGGATTTAGTTAAGGATATTCGTCAAAATTAGATTAAGCCATGGTAGATACCAAAAAGAAAGAAATTGCTAGTAGAGATTGAATAGGAGAAAAGTTTAAAAATGTGATAGATAACAATTATCTTTTGCCTGAGTATATGACTGGCAATGGAGTTGATGCTACTAGGTATTTTATTAATGAAATTGAACGCTTAAAAAGAATAATAGTTCAGCATCAAAAAAAGGAACAAGAATACGAAAGAGAGTTAAATAAAATTTTGGAAGAGTAGAAGGAAATTTACAATAAAGAAACCAGTTTGCAAAAAGGGAGGTTTTAAACCATCTGCAAACTGGTTCACCTCCCACTTTGGGGCATAAAATAAAATATATCGTTTAAGTAAAATCAGTTTGCACCAATAATCAACGCAAACTATGAATCTAAATCGAACTTACGAGGTATTAAATGCTAGTTTAAGAAGAATTGAGGATAGACTTTCCAAGCAAGGTGGCACAGACCAAACCACAGTTAAAACCTTAATCAAAGCAGAACTTAAAAAACATAAAGGAGGAGTAAGCAAAGAGGAACTTTTAGTTTGCGTAGAGGAGGTTTTTGGTAAGAATAACTTTAAAAATGGCAAATACCAAGGTGGTAAAGAGTTAATTATTACCACAATTGAAGAACTTTTTGGTAAGGCCAATTTTAAGGGAGGTAAATTTACCGGTGGCTGAAACGAACAACAAGACACCCAATCCCTCCAAAAAGCCCTCATTCCTTATAAAACTTGAGAAGCTACCCAAAAAGAAATAAACGAACAAATTCTTAAGCCTTATAAAACTTGAGAAGAAACCAACAAGGAAAACATTAATACTATTGAACAAAAATTAGGCGGCCCCCAAAACTTCCAAGATGGAGTTTACAAAGGTAAAGAAATAATCAACGCCGCAGTTGTTGAAGGACTGGATGCTAAAGGAGAAGCAATAATTTTAGAAAAAATCCATGATATTTTCGGACCCGGAGAATTTTATCCAATTAAAGGAGGCGAAGGGGTTCCGCCTGGTCGCGAAGGTTGTCGCAAAAATGCCGAAGAAATTGCGATGATGCAGGCTCAGGAACAAAAAAAGATCCGAGCTATTGAAGAGTGGGATGATTTTTTTGATAATAAACACTTCATTTCGGATGCTACTCAAAAGAAAATCTGGATGGATAAATTTCCCGGTAATCCCAAAGCGGCCGAGAATGTTTATAAAGAAGCGATTTTAAA